TTATGCTCCGGGCGTCGTACACGCATTACCCGATATTATAATGTACAAAATGTACTTATAGTCGTGCAATCGCAGTTTAAGCGTCGAGGATGAGTTGTCGATAGTTAATAACGCGCTGAATTATAAATTAAACCGATGGACTTATAGATGCTAATCGCAACGGGTTTTCGTATCTATAAACAGCTGTTATGAAAACTGAGAGGTGGGCAGCACTAAATTCCTTCCGAAATATAAAATTCTAGTTGTGCCTGCAGAGTCGCGGGCGGAGTTTCATACGTGTTATTTTAATAAAAAAAAAATGGTGGGTGGGTGGGTATAGATCGAACGAACATGTTGTTCCGTTCATAAAAATAGTGCGCGGCGTGTTAGTTGTACCGTTATAATATTGTGACGGTTTTTTTCCTTTTGTCATATCTTTAACCGGCTTTACCACTAGAAATCTCGCGCCGGTTGAAAAACGACCAAAGAGAGTTTTCCGAGAATTTCAGATCTAGTTGTGGAATTGAGAAAGCTATTTTTTTTAATGTTTACGATAGTTGGTAAGACCCTTTAATTTCAATTTTTTTTTTTTTCATTTCGATCCGAATTTCGAATTTAACATATTTGCCGAAAGGCAATTTCGATTTGTTTGCGCATAGGGTGGTCGGTTATTTTAGTAAACAATTGTGCGGTTTTTCGGATAACTGGGAGTATCCGGGAAAGAACCCGTAAGAAAACCCGATAACGGAAAAAAAAAAAATTCAAAATATTCTCACGATTTTAGAGCTTTTTACATTTTATATTTTCTAATCTTTTTAGTTCTCATTGGGTGTAATGTGGATAGCAAACAAAAAAAAAAAAAAAAAACTGTTTCGGCCGATTATATTATTAATGCTTGAAAATTGTTCTCGAGGTTTCGTCATTATGTTATACGTAGTGGTCAAACATAAAGAATCGAACGCAGTTGTTTTTTGCCGTATGATCATTTTGAATTCGAATGTTGACGAGAATTCGTTGGGAAATGATTTATCGTCGCGCACAGATGAAAATTAAATAACATAACACCTATGCCCTCCGGCTTTCACGCCTACCGTATATGTAGCCCGCCCGTCGGCGACACGGGTTGTTTTTTTCTATTCACAATAATTCGAATCCGTCCCCCCCCCTCCCCGGTCCGTATTATTAATGCGATTGCACGGCGTCGCCGATGACCGCGTCGCCCGTGACCGAGTGTAAACGAATTACGGACCGGCAGTTACTCGTGAAATATTTTGCGGGTAGAACGTAACTTCGAAATTATCGAGCACAGGTGCAAAAACGGATAATTTGCGGGCGACAGGTCAACACCCGGGAGACGTCGCGCGACCGGACGAAAAAAAAAAAGAAAAAAAAACGAAATCGAATATGATTTACAGTGGCGGCTCGTGGGGTCCGTCGGAGGCGGGGCACAAATATTTCCCACCACCACCCCCCCACCCCGAAAAATCCATTTTTCGGCCGTCGCTACGCGTATTACCACCCCGGGAATTCCTGTTGACGTTAAATCGAATCCCGATCGTGCGTGTAGGTTGCACGACAAAACGAACATCGACTAGACACGAGAACGTCTAATGAATAACGAACGTCGAATTATTGATTGTTATTATCTTGCGTTCCCCATAATCTACGATCGGTGATAAACGATCGGAAAAATTACCGTTCCCGGCGGTAATATCCGTTCGATTTCATTCGAATATCGATTCTTCGACGTAAACGTCTTACTTTTAATTCCGTATTGGCCGTTAGCCGCGAGTCGCCACCGGATACGATAATTTAATCATAACGACGGCGACAACATTAGAACCGCGGGCTTTGCACCGTGTCTCGCGACACTATTCATTCGTCGGCGCGTGACACGCAGAAGGACGCGATTGCGCCGCGTTAACCAATCGTAACGCGCACAGAAACGTCCCGTGCGTTTCTAATGTTTTTTTTTTTTCTTTTTTTTTTTATAATTGATAATGTCTGTCCGACGTCTCGCGGCCGGCCGTTAATTATGTTTGTTCAATTATTATCGATAATAGATTTATTGTTTTTAAAATTAATTTTTCGCTTCCGGATATAAATTAGTTTATTATTATTTTTTTCTATTACACTCTTTTAAACGCGGTTAATTAGTCGGGTCGAACCGCTGCGTTTCCGTCGAAATAAATATTTATTTTTTCGCCCGTATTAATTAATGTTTTCCGAAACGTCCGCGTCGCAGAAATTAATATTCGTAATTAAAAACGTACACGCGCGTAATTACAATATTAATTGATTTTTTCGAGTATATTTCATAGTTCAATTTGATATAATACAATAATGTATTATCATTGCCTCGTCGACGATGTAATTAAGTCGCGTTCCATTTATTATATTATTAGCACAGGTACAGCATCGCGGTACGCGGTTTTCCGATATCTGTGCGAGAACAACGAATGTAAGGGAACTTGACGAGGCGGCGGCGGTCTAGTCGGGCGTACATTCGCATTGTCCAACGGTACAATATCGTTTGCGGTTGATGGTTTAAAAACAGAGTGCACTGGAGTACACTAGGCGTGAGCGATATGCTAATAATAATTAGAAAAATAATCGCAGTCTTCGTTTTCAACGCTTCAATCGACCGATCGGTCGGTTTGCCGCGGATCTCCGGGCCGCTCTTTCCTTAATTACAATCGACGGCCGCGGGCTTCATCCGCCCGAACATATTATTCCTTTGAATCCTCGCGCCACCGTCCTGACCCGTCGTTGTCCGTCGCAATCTATTATTTGTTCCGAGGTGACCAATAATTTCGTCCCTTCCGACAAAAGTTCTCGTTTTCCTTTTATTCCGTTCGACGTCCGCTCCCCCGTACTCGCCGCTCCTCATTTCCGTCCGATACGAGCTATTTTTTTTTTTCGCAAACAATACCGCGTTTCAAAGGCCCCATAAACTTCCACGCGCATCCGTAACAATAAATATTACCCGAGTTACGCAGGCGTGTTATTATCGTTATTATAGATACCGCACGTACAATGCAATACCATCAGGAACAGGTTTCCTTATTTGTATAAGGCGAAAATTATTATCGGCAGTCAATATCCGTATGATCGTTCGGAAGTGAAATAGGAAAAAAGAAAGAAAAAAACCGAACGGTAATTACGCGACAGTTAGTTCGAATAACTTTATTTTTCAAAAAACCGCCGTATCCGTTTTATTACATCGATAATATTATCAGCGAAATTTCAACGCGTAAATATTATTTTTCGCTAATAAGAGTTTTACGTGGTACCCGAACAAAAAACGAACGCCACAAACGACGTGTTAACTATACCTGCAGTACAATTTCGATTTTTTTTCCTTTCGGTTCGTTATGATCGGTTTTCGTCGACACATTCGAAGTTAATTTCCAATTTAAAACTTAATTTGTTTTCTTCGAATTTCCGGCACATTAAATTTATAATGTTGCATTACGCGCACGATACTTATACACGTGTTATTCTTTTACGCGTAATGTAACATGCCGTATTGAATGGGTTCTCGTGATTTATTTGTGGCGTCTCGTATATTTAAAATACTGGGAATTTGACGACGCATTCTGAACTGAAATAATACCAATATAACGATATTGTGGCGGAAAAATTCAGAATTCCGGATATAAATGGCGGGGAAATAATCAAAAAAAAAAACTAAAAAAAAAACCCTGTGCGGATAAAATTCAATTACGGTTAGGTTAGATTGTATTGTATTTAATATTGTATTTGACTTACAACGGGAAACTGTATAATATTACTCGGGTTAGTTAGTGGCGGTTTTGAGGGCACGACGTGACGATCACTCCCCTTCCCCAATTATTTCTCAAATTATAATTCACATATTATATTATAAACATACGTATAATATATGTTTTAAAAGTCCTAATTAGAGAGAGAGAGAGATATGAGAAGTGATATGAGAGAGGTGGGGAGGTACAGCGATAACGAACGTTGCTATGCGTATAAAACAAATTTAGACCACCCCCATCGCCTCTGAAATTTTTTTGCAGTATCTACGATACGAATTACAACCCCCCCCCTCCCATCCCATCCATTTAAACGAAATTCGGGTCGACCACTCATCCTGACCACTAACACACACTATGTTACGCCGAATTTGTCAATTTACCGATTTCACGAAATCGACAGAAAAATTGCTTACTTCACGAAATGAGAAGTGCCGTTGCCGAATACGGAAAGAAAAATACTCAGCAGTATTATTTTGCCGATCGCACGAATTCAGCAATACACTTTTCGTTGTTATACTATATTGATATGGACATTGAATGACCAGAATTTAAAATTATTTCGACTATCATATAAATTGTATTTTTCGCATAACGCTATCTTTATTTAGCCGTGTATAATAATAATAATAATAAAACAACTGACACGGTTCCCCGTGTAACTTGATACGTATAAAATATGTTAACTAATTGATGTTACCGGTTTTCTATCGCCTACATAAAACAATGCACCCACGATTTATATTACATATTATCACATACTATTGTAACATTGCATTCAAATATTTGTTATATGTGCGCTTGTTTTACGAACATTATCAATTAATCATATCAAATCAATCAATCACAATCGAATATTTTTAAACTTTTTAAATTGATATAGTAATTTTTTTTTTAATGATAAAATTTCCCAATTCGACGTATCAATTCAGTCTAAATTTCAGTGAAATTTATGTTGTGCACGAAATCGGAACTTGTTTTTTTTTTTTTTTTGATTGGTAATATAAATTTTACATTTGTTGACTTGGTCGATTTCACGTATTCAGCCGATGGCGTTGCTCATTTCATGAAATGGGCAATTCACAAATTCGACGTAATATAATACTGCCGTACCGTGAATATTATATTTTAAAGCCACCCGAAAAATTATTGTAATGTGCTGTTCGACACGAAAACGTATAAACGGTTTTTCCGTGATAAAAAAAAAAAGCAAAAAAAAAGCAAAAAAAAAGAAAAAAAGTAATACACAAAAGATAATCGTTATTAATGACGATACGACAGAATGGGACGGAGAAAATGACTTTACGATGCGATATTTCATTGTTGTTTTCGCCGCTGTTGCTAAATTATATAATAACACTACAGATATGGCCAATTAGAACGCCGAGACTTTGTTAAGTATAATATTCTTATTGGATTATCAGCTAATGACTTCTGCACTGTCGCCCGCGTGTTTACGGCCGACGGCGTCGGTCGCGTAATAACAATAAAAAAATTAAAAAAAAACCACCGGAGTCGACGGTGATACATTTCACGCCGTCGGTTACAATAATAGCCGAACTTCTCGTTTCGGGGAGGGTATTGACAGTATTCGCCCCAATCGTTCCCTGCGCAGGAACCGCAGCGATTCGTATTAAATATTGTTGCGGCGATCTCGGCCGATTTGCCGTTTTTTTTTTTTTTACTCTATACTTGCGCGCGTTACACGTGTGTATCAACAAACATAAACAGTCGTATAGCTAATCGGTGTACAACATCAGTTTTCCCGTCGTCGATTTTCGAAGCTTCAGACGGACCATTGTACTGTTTTTAATCGAACAAAATACGCAAAAAAAATGTCCATCTAGGCGATCACACCGTTCGCTCCCAAATATGTTCTGAGCTCGATTTCCAGCACACGGATACAATACGCTCATATGGATCTCGATACTCATCCGACCCCCTTGTTTTCTTGTTCCGGGTCCCCTGCCGTCTTACCGTTTTTTTTTTTTTAATAATTTTACACGGGAGACATCCCGTGTACATCTGTATTATACTGTTGACAATGATTTGTCACAATTATGTACAGCAAATAAACCGCATAAACCTATCGTTTTTAGTTTTTAAATAATCGTAGTACTTTATTCAATCGGCGCTAGAATATTATGTTCCCGTTATTTCGCATTTTTCGCGGTATCTTGTGATAAAATTTCACACGCACATTGTATCCGCCCGGCCGCCTAATGCGGACGCGAAACGGCTGCTTTGTAGGATACTATCGTTCGCCACTGGTTGCCCCCCTTGTGTACATAAATCAACTTCCGTTATTTGAAAAAAAAACCGCGGACAATACGAATGTTATTTCCTGCTTTTTACTGCAGATTCGTAAAACTGCAGTTTTTAGACATCCCGCAATTGATATTTCAGTATTGATTATTATTCCGCGGGTTTCGCGATAGAGTTTACCCACGAGAATTCGATGTCGTGACGATAGTGTCGACAATATTATTGCGACACGAACTTCTTATCCAACGACCATTTACAACAAGTCGAGGCATTTTGTTTCTTTTCAATTATTTAATTATTCATTTTACGATTTATACGCCTATCGGGGTTGTTATTCAACAGAACAAATCGAATAATAATTCACTATTAAACGGTTCGATTTTTCGCGGATTCTTCCACACAGACATCGTTAAAATTGAATAATTTTTTGATTTTCAATATTTTCAACATTCGATTGTTGTTAAAAGTCGACATTTTACCGGGATAATTTACACACGACGGCCACGGTAGTAATTATAATATATAATACAACCGGGTACCACGCATATACCGATGGGAACATTTTCAAAGCTTTTGCGAAATGTCATAACAATAATAATTATTCGAATTTCAACAGGAATCGATAGTGTCATTTCCGGTTTTCGTTCACGCGAAAATAAGTCTCTTGACGAGAGGAGAGGTGTGTGTATTTTTTCGTAAAATAAACATTCGCTTTTTATTTTGATGGCCCATTTAGGGTACGCCAGTAAATAGGAATTGATATATGTTTTTTTTTTTTTTTTTATTTTTATTAATTTGTTTGTTTGTTTGTTATTCGTTATACGTATAATACACGTTGTATACGAATTATAATACCGATACATTCTCGAATTCTGCCGAAAATCGAAAAAGCCGTTGAATAAACACCGCCGTTAAAACAATATTTGTTTGAGCGCTTAAAAATGTCGCGTATTTCGTTGTGAAAAAAAAATATAATAAAATATTGTAATAATATCGTATACGTATATAAGCGTGCGTCATTGTATATGATGGTATACAATATTATTACTTATTTTCAGACATTGTACTGTACTTTGTTTTTTTTTTTTTTTTTTTTTTG